TAGAAGCAACTATCCGTGAATATAAGCAACTTAGGTTGCAACACGAAGGCCCTCGCAGAGCCGTTGCCATGCTGCCCGTCCGGTTGCTCTGTCGTTCCATGCAGTTCGCCTTGACATTGTGAAGTCGGGTTTCGCTGGCAGCGTTACCTGGTGGTTCACAGAATCTTTTCCATGCTGCCCGTCCACTTGCTCTGTCGTTCCATGCAGCCATGCAGTTCGCCTTGACGTTGTGAAGTCGGGTTTCCCCGGCAGCAATGCCTGGTGCTTTGCTGAGTCGGTGCCTACTGCTATGTTCTGCTTGTGGTTTTGAAGACAATGACAAAACCATACTATTATGAACAAGAAAGCTGATAAGAGCTTTAATATTGTGGTGCTATCAACTTCCTCCGGGAATCCTCCCTATGTTATCTCGACCGACACTGTCGAGGAACCCAATCCTTGTGCTGGCAGCCTGCCTTCGACAAGGGTTCAAGCGTTTAAACCACCAGTACTTGGCTCATACATCGGTCGCGGGCCGTTGTCGTTAACGGCCTGCAACTTCCGGGCTTCGGGGTGCCAGAACTGAATGGCTGGAAGCGCCAGCCAAAACAAAGTTGAAACAGCGCCACGGCGGCTCGGGAAAACTTGGCGCGCAGGAGGTCAGTCGGCTCGGCATCGATAGCTGGGCCAAGTACTGGTGGTTTAAGGGTTCATGAACCAAAGCATCAATATGGGGATTCTGCAGATTGTCAAGGGTTCAGTTCCCTGAGGAGTCGGTGCAAGTCCCAAAAAAAACAATCTATCATCATCAATTGGGGCTTAAAAAAGCAAAAGTACATCCAGCTATCGGGCGTTGGCGCCCGTCAGAATCTGGTAGGCGACGCAGGACACTGATGTTTTTTTTTCGACAGCGCGCCTGCGCAGTCTTTTTTGAAACCAACTCGTAGGTGGCGAGTTTCTTTTCAGCAAGGCTGTCGGCTTTAACAACCAGACAGCTAAGTGGACTGGTGCAAAAGTTAAGACCGAAGATGAGCACTTAAACACTGCCTTGACAATGTGCGCTCTGTGAGTCTGTTCTGAAGAGACCAATCTAGCCTGCCATTGGGTTGAAACCCCCCATCCCTATAGACTAAGTTGGCGCATGACGGAGACTAGCTGTTAGGCCCCGGATGCTGTATATCACATGTACACGGTGCTCGGACAGCAGAAATGCTTCGTATGCGTGAGGCCTGGTAGAGAGATCTGGGGGGCTGTTTGCGGGGGCAGTCTCAGTGTCCATCGGGGGTCGTAACTGGAGCAATGCTGGCCGGTGCTGGAGCAAGGTGGTGCAACTCGGTAACCTAGCCTGATGGGAGCATGAGGCCTGGAAAAGCTTCGGTTCGTGCTGAAAACAGCGGCATGCTGGTTGTGGTCGTAGGTGGATTGAATAGGTTTCACCTATCTGATTCGTGGTTGGGAGGCTTTTTGGCACACATATTCTAGTGACTTGGTAGAGAGTAGTGGTCCATGAATGTTTCTGAGTTTTCCCTTTTCTTCATTAGTTCCTAGCCGAAGCCAGGTAATGGCCCCGGTAGCTCATTTTTTTGTATTCTGATAAGGGACGCTGGGCCCGGCTCCCAGCAGTGTTGCTCCCCACGAACAGATTGGAGCATCGTCTCTTAAAAAAAAAAAAAAAAAGATCTGAACACAAACACGCACACAGACAGAGGTACAAACATGTTCCCTACCTCACATTTTTCTCCTCCTTGTGGCAAACACCAGTTTCGTGTGTGCCATAACATGAGATTTGGGAGTGCATGCTCATGCCATTCGGAACAAATATATTTCATAAGAGACAGGCTGGATGGTCAATGCTGTGAATCAGATGAGTGGGTGTAAATGGGGGCATGTGAACCATAGCTATGCCAGACAGGATCTGGACGCCGGACATTCCAGCTCCATCCGGACTCCCAGGAAACTGGAATATTCCGGAATTTCCAGATCGGTCCAGATCCACTCTCCGGATGTCTGTCCGGATAGCTTGATTTTCTGGAAAGAAAGAGGAGGAAGAGGGGGAGGAGTAGGAGTAGAGGGAGAAAGAAAAGGAGCGCGGACATGGCGAGGGAGAAAGGGAGTGAGGAAAGTAGGGCGGAGTTGATACTGAGGAGGAGGACGGCAAAGGAGGGCAGAGTTGACGAGGAGTAGAAGGAGGAGGAGAGGGAGAAAGAAAAGGAGGGTGGACTTGACGAGGAGGAGGAGGAGGAGGAGGAGGAGAGGGAGCAAGAAAAGTAGGGTGGAGTTGACAACAAGGAGGAAGAGGAGGAGAGGAGGCCGATGAGAAGGTGGGTGGAGTGGAGGAGGAGGAGCAGAGGGAGAAAGAAAAGAAGGCCACAGGAACGAAGCTTCCCAGGCAAAAAAAAAGACAAAAAGGAGCCAGCACTTCCCTGGGTCACATAAAGAATTGGGGGGGCCGAGGAGGGGGGGGGTGCGTTCAATATTCGATTTCAAGAAGAATCGCTCAGATATGGGAGAGGGGAGAGAAATGGATGACAGCACACACACACACACACACACACACACACACACACACACACACACACACACACACACACACACACACACAGAGAGAGATACACACA